AGTCTGTGTAATAACATTTTTATTTTTTTAAATTTTTAATCTTTCACTACTTCTTTTATTATGCAACTTTTATATAGGTGATTTTTGGTATATCAACTCCTTTTGACGAGTCCCACAAACAGTTGATATAAATGACTCAACTTTGAAAACACCCTGAATATGCATAGTAATAAGTGAACAGCAAAGATTTGTCAACGGCAAAACGTTAACTGACAAATAAGGGGAAATCTTTTTACATGTGTAGTCAATATGAGCATTCCACTTCAGCAGCTGCTTATGTGGATACCCAAAAATTTCACAAAGTCGACCTGTTGAATGGAACCATCGAGTGACTTAACCAGAAAGCTAGGATCGAGGTTGGAATTTGCATAAGCGTACCTAAGAGATTGCGTTTTATTTGCGTTGAGCAGGAGCCCATTATCTTGGAACCATTTCTGTGTTCTTCGTAGCTCTACAGTAGCTATTAGAGATGTTAAAATTTTGCAACCTACTTATAAAGATGTATCGTCTGTATACGTAATATAATTAGTCCTACTGAAGTCATTCACAAAAATTATATACAGCAATAGTCCCAAGATAGAGCCCTGCGGAACTCCCATTTCACTTTTATGTACATCAGATCTGTGATTTCCAATTTCAACAGACTGTGATCTGTTAGGTTAGACGAATAATCACGGAACCACCGTATTCCATAGTAATCAAGTTTTATCAAAACAGCTCATTATTTTGCAAGGTCGAAAGCTTTGCTCAGATCAATGAATACCCCAATTTACTTTTTACTCATATCAATATTGGTATAGAGATGATTCAAGAACCTTATTATTACTATAGTAGTTGGCAAACCATTGCGGAAGCCATTCTGACCTGCATTAAACAATATGCTTTTACTGAAGTATTTCACTACACAGATTGCTACTACTTCCCAAGTATTTTCACAAATGGACTGAGCAGGGATATTGGTTGTCTACGAGACTGGGGTCACCTTTTTTGAAGATGGTAATAACTTCAAACAACTGGGAAACTTACTCTCCTGCAATGAACAGTTCACCAACAGAGTCAGATGGTTTCAAATCCCTGATTATATCCAAGATGTCATTTTCATACGCAGCGTGGAAAAAGAAATTGACTGATTTTTGATCATGGTAAAACATTGCTTGCAGTAATTGACAAACACTTAATACTGTTCAGAAACTGGTTATTAAAAGCTGTTGATACATGCTGTGATTAGCAGTTAGTGAGTCTCCAACTTGTATGACGATCTTTTTACTTGTCAAAGATTTGGGTTTCAGTATATTCCACGATGCTTTGGATTTATTTGTTGCTTGCTGTAATATGGGACTGGTGTATAACTTTGTTGGTGCGCGAAGCATTGTTATATATGTCTTTTTGTATAAATTATAACAATTTTTTATAACTGCATCCTTTCTAGATTAATTATACAATTCTCTTCATCGTTGGCCAAACATAATTGAACCGTTTGTTAACCAAGGTTTTCTTTTTTTGATTCTAGTTTATATACTAAGTGACATATAAATCCGAACACCCAGTTTAAATGGTTTTATCTTAATAAAAGTTGGTGAATGTATGTATCTTACTGTAAATAACAAGTTAAAAAATTTTCAGCCTTATCAGTTGGACATTCCGGTTTTTATACTGCTTTTTTTTAATTCACTAACGCTCTAAAAATGAATATTTCAGCCGCAGTAAAGAATCAACGTTGGCGGATTTTGGTTCTTGACATCCTTTACGATCGGTTACGATGCCTAGAGTACGGAGACCTGTACGATTTCGTCAACTTAGTGAGTTTGATAGGGGCCGTATAGTGGGACTTCGGGAAGCTGGACTTCTTTTCGGGCAATTGCAGGTAGAGTGTAAAGAAGTGTAGACACTGTGGTTAGATGTGTCAGGCATGGCTTCGAGAAGGCCGTACGCAAAGAGCAAGGGGCACTGGACGCCGCCGTAGAACAACAGACCGTGAAGATCGCCGCCTAAGATTATTGGCCTTAAGGGACCGTTTCTCCACTACCAGGTCCATTGCAAATGAATGGTTTGCAGAACACGGAAGACCTATTGGCCTCCCTTTAACTCGAGAACACCGACGTAATCGCCTTGAGTGGTGCAGACAACGGTCACTCTGGGATCAGGAATGGAACAGTATTGTCTTTAGTGACGAGTCTCGATTTTGTTTGGGCATGCACGATGGTCGTGCCAGGGTTAGAAGGCGACATGGTGAAAGGAGGAATCCACAGTTTTTTGTTGAAAGACATGATCATCACACTGTTGGAGTTATGGTTTGGGGTGCTATAGCTTATGGTTCCAGGTCACCTTTAATCTTCATCAGAGGTAACATTAACGCGCAGCGTTATATCCACGAAGTTCTAGAACCCCATCTTTTACCCTATCTTGACACCCTGGCAGATCCAACTTTCCAACAAGATAATGCCCGACCACATGTTGCAAGAGTCACAATAGACTTCTTTCAACATAATGATGTCACATTGTTACCATGGCCACCAAGATCTCCCGACTTATCCCCAATTGAGCACGTGTGGGATATGATGGGTAGGAGATTGCTCAATTTGCAACGTCCTCCTCAGACTCTAGAAGCAGGACATTGACCACCTGATCAGAAGCATGCCTAGGCGCGTTGGAGAATGCGTAGCACATCAGGGTGCATCCACACATTATTAAAGGTCAAAGGGCTTTAAAGCAGTGCAATCATTTTGAAATTTTTATCATTTACTTATTATGCTTCATTAAGTACTTATACAAAATTTTATTAAAATAAAACCATTTAAACTGGGTGTTCGGATTTATATGTCACTTAGTATATTAGTTTTTCTTTAAGAAGGAAAGCTAACTCGAAGTAATAGGTACTTGAATTCATTAAGAAATGACTGAAAGTTACACTTACCATGATTAATATAGATATCATGCCAATTTCCTTTACTTAATAAATCCAGAAAATGTTTCATATTATTTTCATTATGTATTTGTCTATATTGATATTTTATTGGTATAGTATTACCTTCATTATTAATATTTGTATCATTTGTGCTACATGGTCGCTGATATAACCATTAAGTACTCTGCAAGAAAATTCACAATCCTCCATATGTACACAGATATTGTGCTTGTTCTTATGTTCCACGAGCTAAGAAGATCTGATAAACTAACGTATGTCCTAAAAGTTTTGGCATGGGTGACACCAGTGCCTCTGACATAAAAATTAAAAACTTGACTGGCGGACGGATGGCAGATGACAACCCTACCCTTGTACCCTTAGGGTATAGCCTAAAAGTGATTAAAACATTAAATCTAATTTAAAAATGAACAATTTATTGTTAAATAACAAAATTAATTCTTCTTTTTTGTCTTCCTGCGAATCGATTAATATTAATACTTACCATCTCCTTTGATACCAGTGCAACAACTTTTTTGTGGTTTTGTCGGTCACAGTGGCGGATTTAACTAATGGCAAAATGAACATTGCCGCCTGGGCCCCCCAAGGAAAGGTGGTCTCAGCCCCCCGCCCAGCAAAAATCAGCTCTAGTGTCTATGAAACAGCGCGTTAGCATTCACTTTGAAATAGGAAAATTTCCCTTTCATTTCTTAAGAAATTTTTTGAAAAATGACCGAATGACCCTTTTATTTCTCAAGAAGTATTGGGGTTATTTTTTCATTTTGTGCTTACAGCGATATATTATGACCAGGCATATAATGTTCAGTAAATAAATAACTTCGTGGTATGAATCATCCTCTTTCAGTCTAATAAAGACTGTAATGCGTCTATTACAGTCTTTTCACGTCTTCAATGCTTATAACCATACACTTTCACAATACTGTGCATTTTTTTTATTTGATGACGTCTATTTTCTTCGTGATAATACCGTGGAAGTAATTTTTTGAATGTATTATCAATTGCATAGAAGACGAAATTTCAAGAGTGGGAGCTTCTGGCGAAGATATAATGAATGCAAGATCTCTCCTTTCCTCCATGAACTGGACCTTTATCCTCAATTTGTTATGGTGGCATTCAGTATTGACTACTGTGCAAGTTCAAATGCAAAAAAAAGAAATAGACTTGATGACGGCTCAAAGGTGCATTTCAGCAGCATTAGAAAAATTAAAAGATTTGAGGAACGGAAGCACATGCGATAATTTTGTTCTGAAAGCTGAGAAGAAATGGGGAGAGATGGAATGGGAAAATTATGGTTTTCCTATTGCCAGAATGAGGAAAATCAAAAAAATGTTCGACGAAGCAGCTGCTGACTCGCCACTGGAAACACACGAAAAACAGCGAATAAATTACTACGAAGTTTTGGATTCAATACTAATGACAGCCCGCTAGATTATTTGAAGTTCATGATTGTAAAGAATTTTGTAGATCTGCCTTAAGTCACTGGCGCTCTTAACCCACCCTACTCTCCGCTTTATTGAGCTAGGGCCTTTTGCACGCCACTGGACAGCTGTTTTGCATTGGCTGACCCTTAAGCTGGCTACACACGATCCGGTAGGCCTGTCAGTTCTAACTGAACAGTCCGCCTGAAGACCAGTCGCCTGAGCGTGTATATATTCCGGTCGACTTGTCAGTTAAGACTGTTCAGGCGGCCGGAGAAAAATCAAAAATATGTTCGTTTATCCGTCCGGCCTGACGTACTCAACGACAAGCCTGAACGTGCGTGTGTATGGCGCGGCCGCCTGTTGGGACATCCGGCTGTCAGGCCAAACAGTTCAGTTTAATACAGAACCAGAGTACAGAAGTCGTTACCATGTCGCGGGAAAGAGAAAACACGTGTTTAGAAGAATTTATCGCGATTTATCGCAATGAGTTGTGTCTATGGCAAGTAAAATCGAAAGACTATCACGACCGTGGCAAGAAAGAAGCGGCGTATTTAACATTAATAGAAAAATTGAAGGAAATTGATCCTTATTGTTTTAAAAAAAATTAATAATTTGAGGAGTAGTTTTCAAAAGGAAGCAAAAAAGTGAAGGATTCAATGAGGACGGGGTCATGGGCCGATGAAGTTTACCATCCCAAACTTTGGTATTATGATTTGTTGAAGTTTGCGGAAGACCAACAAGTCTCTCGAAACTCTCGAAGCAATATCTCGGATGACGAAGACAGCGAAAATGAGGTAAGTGACAGAAACATTCAGTAGATAATTTGTTTGTTTATTTATTTAATAAACACACATTTTTCATAATGTGAATAAGTACCTATTTGTAGGTAATTTGTGTATTTTTAGGGTGGTCCAAATTGGTCAAAAAAATTCATTGGCGCAAACAAAATTTTGCAATTTGTAATCGTTTTGTTGCCAGGGGACGTTCTTAAAATTTAGTCGATTTCTTTCAATAAGGGGTGTTCCCATAAGAGAGCGACCAATTTGGACCACCCTATACAATAGTATTATTAGTAGGTTAGTTTTTATTGGATGAATCTATCTTGCCAAGAAATTTTACCTTCATTCGTAAAATAACTCATAAAGGCCTCCCTAACTTCTTTTACGGCATTCGCTGTATTTCCAAATGGTCTTCGTTGCAAGCTAGACTTATTAGAACCTTGTGAATTCAACCTAAAATGTGTCACACCTCCTTCCGTATCATCATAGTCAAAGCACTCTGGAGGAGTATATGTTCTTGATGACTTAGCTATCAAAAAGTTATGTAACATGCAGCAAGCCATTACAACGAATTCAATATTTCGCGGTTCCAAATTAACGCAAGTGTGAAATATCCGAAATCTGGCAGCCAATATTCCGAATACATTTTCGACAATACGTCTTGCTCGTGATAAACGGTAGTTGTAAATTTTTTCTCCCTAGAAGGCTGCCTGTCGAAAAGGTTTCATTAGGTCTACCCTCAATGGAAATGCATTATCTCCTATAAATACATATGGTAGGCTTCTGTAAGTATTCCGTATGGTTTCTTCTACAGGAATTTTCAGGAGATTATTTTGTAGTTTTTCAAAAAATTTGGTATTTTGTAATACCCCACCATCAGACACCCTGCCATTTGTTCCGAAATCGCACATTAAAATACGATATTTTGCATCAACTAAGGCTAATAGCACCATGCTATGAAAACTTTTATAATTATAATAGTACGATCCGCTTCCAGATGGGGGGACGATGCTCACATGCTTGCCGTCAATGGCCCCAAGGCAATGAGGAAAGTTCCAGAGTTCGTCAAAGCTCTGAGAAATGTTTCTCCAGTCTTGTTCTAGTCGTGGATCCTTGCGTAGAACTTCCCATATTGCTTCACAAGTTTCAGGAATAATGTAACTCGAGCTTGAGGTAATATAATAGTGGAAAACTTGAGGTCCTCATAGGTTCTTCCAGTAGCTAGAAACCTCAAAGTTGCCGTCAGCCTTTCTTGTGCTGGGATTGCTTCTCTCATCACAGTGTCTTGTCTTTCTATCAAAGGTGCTACCAATGATAAAAGTTGCAAATACGTATCTTCATCCATACGTAGATAATTGTGCCAATCCTTGGGAGCTAACTTCAGGTCATTCAGCAAATTCACATGAGAAAAAACGCTCATTTTTTCAACCAATCTTTACACCATACCGTACTTTTTTTTATTTGGATTTCTTTTTACCCAAAGCAACAACTAAGCCGAGAAGTGCTAACGCGTCGTCGTCAGTAGAGGCCATAATATGATGATTGAGACTGATATTTCTTATTCGCCTGAACGTGTGAAGGGTGGTCACTCCATCAAGCGACTGGTCTTCAGGCAAGGCGTGGCAGAGAATATTAAATAAAAACAAATATGCTAAGATTCAATTCCTGTTAGAAGAACTACAGTGGTTGATTATAAAAAATTGTATATGTTGGTCTAATTTTCATATTCAAATTGACAAATCATTTATTTTCACCACATTAGAACACAAAATAAATAGTCATTATCATAACTCGGAAGCTAGAGGAAGTATAGATTTTCTATCTCAAAAAAGGGCTAGAGTTGGGTATATGACGATATATGAAATGTTTCTAAAATCTTACGTAGATTTCAATAATTCAATAATATACAGGGTGTTCCATTTAAAATAAGCAAAGTAGTATTTACTTCGGTACAGCGATTTTTGAAATTTGCTAGCCAAATCCCTCACAACAGTTATACTATGATCTCAAGTTTCTATAGTTGTTTGACTTCAGCCTCTAGTAATCGATCGCAGTTTTAATGTTCGGTTAACTTGGCATTCATCCGTAAAAGCTTCTAATCAAACAGATTTCCCGGAAACGTTGGTGTTCAATTATAAAATGATATTTCGAAGATATGTCCACTGACTCAAAAACAAAAGGGATTGAGTCACTAAGCCATGAATCAAACGGACACTTTATTTAAAAATACAAATAAAATTCTATTACATGTTTTGTCCAATCCGTATAATAAAATTTTTAAAAGATAATCGTTTAATCACGAGCATAAAAAATCATCAGCATTTTTTGGAAATTAACATTGCTAAATTTTCAGGTTCTCAAGAGATAAAGATGAAGCATTTAAGTTCCAAATAACAAGTAATCCATCAGCTCCCGAGCTGGATATCTTGGTAGCCTTCTCCTTAGTGCCTTCATAGATACGCAAACAGGTAATTTGGTTCTGATGAATTGAATCCAAATTTGTATCTGATATTTCGATCCTGGCTTGTTTATCTAGCGAATGGAACATTTTCATTGCAGATAATCCTGAAAGAAATCACTGTTAGAAATAGGAGTATATAAATGTAGTTTACAGGGACATTATTTAAAAAAAAATCATGGAAAAGTTATGTGAATTATAAGGTAAATTTACCATACTTTCAAAATAATACAAAAAGAAATGGTTCAATTTCTGCGGGCATATCTAGCATTCTTATGTCAGAGCATATGGAGTGGAGCAAAATGTCATGGTTTGAATCAATTATAACGCGCCCGTTTTCAAAATTTATTTTTTAGGATTCAGCAGAGTAGGCTTGTGGAATTTGATACGAAGCGATATACCGTGCGCATATCATCGCTACTTCAATTTAAGGTTTTGGAACCCTAAACACCAAAAATAAGCCATCTCAACCTTTTCTCAACAGCAGAGCATATTATTGAACCGTCAATGTTAACAGTTCTGGCTGAGCTACAGTCGTATCATATTAGACGAAAATACCCCTGGTTTGCGAAATAATTGTAAAGTATGGTTTTATCGATGAAAGTTATTCAAGGGGGTGCTTAAAACATGTACGCATAAAATGGGTACACCAATTTTTGTGGGAAAATTTTTTACTCGACAAAAAAGAATGAGAAAACGTGTTTTTTGGGATTCAATCGGAAATGTTGTCAGGAACTAAAAAACTCTTCAAATGAGATTTTTAGGTATTTATGAGACCTATAAAATGAGAGCACTCGTAAAAATATCCAACTATTACTAAAAAACCAGAGGCAAAAGGCAGGTTTTGGCACTTGTTGCTGTGACGATAATAATTTCACGCAGCTACTTGAGATTCCTTAAATCCGTAGGCTTAACTTCTAAATAACCAAAACAAATTTGGAGTCGATTGGTCAACTAGTTTTTTGAAAATATCTAACTGTTTATCCCAAAACCTGTCTTCCGGCCATCACTACTAGTTTACTGAGCAATATACAGAGTTCGTTCACACGTCACAGATGAGCCTTAAAGTTTATAAAAAAATATTAAACTAAAGACAATTGTTTCAAACTGTCTTAGACTAGTTAGTAAGTAGCGTGTACTAAATGGCTGCATTATTGATGACTGCATGACTTTGTCAAATAAGTAGGTCACGTAATCCAGTTTTTTTTTAAGAAGGAATATAATTCCTGGACCTTATTTTCTAATATCAACCAATAATACATTATTTAAAGTTTCAGCATTATATCTTCTATAGTTTTGAATAGTATTCTAACAGATTTGATATCCCTCCCACGTTCGCTTGACATACAGTAATGGACAAACGTATATAGACAAATATGAATATTTACCGAAATACATTTAGAAAACGAATTCATACTTCATTGCTCCATAAACAAATGCGTTATTAGTAGAAAAACTAAATTCCGTCAAGTCGACATTGCCAAAAATTTGAAGCTGAAGCGTAAAGCAGTTTGGGTAATATTGAACAAATATAAACAAAAAGGTCTCTTGGAAGCCTCTAAGAGAAGTGGTCGGCCTAGAAAACTAATTGCTAGATCAGTTAGATTAGTAAAAGTAATTTCGTCCAAAGATCCGTTTAAAACCCTAAGACAAATAAAAGCCGAAATCGAGACAAAAGGAATTGTCAGTGTTTCTACGAAAACTATGAGTAGAAGATTAAATGATTTGAAGCTATTTGCACGTCGCCCGAGTAAGAAGCCGCTAATCTTGATGAAAAACCGTAAGGATCAATTACAATTTGCACGGTTGCATCTTGATTGGAGCATCTGCGACTGGAAGACGGTATGTTTCAGTGACGAATCCAAGTTCAATATGTTGGGATCAGATGGTGTTCATTACGTTAGACGTCCTAGTGGACAAAGATTGAAACAAAAATACACTTTTGCCCACTGTCAAACATGGAGGCGGGTCTGTTATGGTTTGGGGCTGCTTTTCGGGCTTTGGGATGGGACCTTTACATAGAATAGATGGCATTCTGGATATGTTTGTATTCACAGACATACTAAAGCATGTCATGTTACCCTATATGGAAGACAATATGCCCTTAAGATCAATCTTCCAGCAAGATAATGTCCCTAAGCACACTTCAAATCTCGCAAAGAAATTATTTCTGGATGAAAAAATACCAGTTCTCAAATGGCCTTCACAGTCTCCCGATATAAACCCCATTGAAAATCTATGGGAATACTTAGATAAGCAAATACGAGATAAAAATTATTCAAACAAGGATGAACTTTTTGCCGCTTTAGAGCAAAAGTGGAGACAGATTGATGAATCTTATATCAAGAAACTTCCACAATCTATGGCGAGACGATGCCAGGCGGTGATTGATAATAATTGTTATGCTCCAAAATAGTTCTTTTAACAACAGAAATGCTAGCTTCGATCATCAGGTAGTTGTCGTTTGAGGAAAGCGTAGTATCTGTCTACAATAGTGTCGAGGGTTACTCTATATACTCAGTGCGTAAAAAAATAATATTACTTTTACAAGAAGAAACTTTATTTGCCCAAAACAAAAACCCAGCGATTTACGTGGCCGCCAAACCAACGATTATTCCAGTTTACTCAAAAACTTGCAATTTAAATATCTTTTAACGATTCTTTGTGGATACGAAGTCATATTATTTAGAAGCTTAAAATCAAAAGGGTAATACAAACATGAAGAAACAATAGATTATGGTTATTATTTATAACTCGTAATGCGTCCGGAAACGTGCTACTTTCTGCATGTAGATGCGTGTTGAAAGTGAGTACTTTCCGCACGCTGGTAGAATAAAGCATTTATTTCTCCGAATTAAAAAATAATAGAAAAAAGGAGCGTTGTGGATTCGAGCCTCCGTCCGCAAGTAAGTACACCGAATTTTGGACGAAATTCCGATTTATATTGTTTTTTCATCTCATAAAATGCTTTAATTCGTCTCTGAATTGTCTTAGACATATGCTACAAAATGGGGGAAAAATGAAGAGAAAAAATAATTTTTTTTCATTCACATAACCGAATCTGTTAGCATTCGCTCCTGAAATGTAACGACAGCAACCTTGCTGGCCAAGTGCAAGTGCAAGCGGTCGTCAAATCATATATAGCCATTTTGGAGATTGTTAGAATCGCATACGTGGACCATTTTTTCTTGTTTTTTCCTATTGTAGCTTTCATTTAATATCCCCAATAGTACCACTAACAATTTGTTGAATAGCACGCGTTTTGGTCTATATCAGAATTCCATAAAATCATTCAAAAATCTCCAAACAGTGCATATGGTGCCATCTAGTTCTATGGGTTTGAATTTCATAAGTAGCGACTGAGAGCCCGAGAGTTCCCTAAATTTACTAGGAAGTAAGCTATTAACAGTCAACAGGTGGCGACTGGCAAAATCTAACTGCGCATAGGTTACTGAAATAATTTTGGCTTGCAAAAACCCACTACACAGTAGTAACTTAGCCAACTTAACAAAAAACATGTTTTATGCACAGTTTCACCTTCAGTAAAGCTATTATCAAAAATTATTAATGGTATTCACTTTACATAACACTATAAGCGACTCCAAAACGAGAGAGTTAATTGAAGACACAATTGGATAAACGTGTCATGTAACAAAGTCGTTGTATGGAGAAAATCGACTTTAAACATTTTTTATTGGAACTTTTTACTATATTGAAATTTTAAATATTTCCTTTGATTAGTTTGTTATTTATATTGGTTTTGCAACAAATGAATCACAGAATGCAATAATAAATAATTTCTCTAAGGTTAGTTTAATGCAAAAAAGCAATTTTTAAAAAATGTTACATGACACAGTTGTTCTGGGACGCGCTGTCCGCACCGCCACCGGGCTTGCTGTGAGATTTTTCGAACGCTAATTTGGGGAAATTTGTAATGATGAACTGTACTTCAAATATGTAAATGCATCTCATTAAGATTGAAAGGAGCCATCAGAATTTCTAGATAAAGGATTATTTTAGATACTTATTAAAACAACGCAAATAAATTTATTACAAAAGTCAAAGTGACAGAGCGGTGGCACTATAATGTCACAGGTAACGGTTGATCGTCATTGAAAAATTTATCTGACTCATATTTTACTGTAAACAGTTACGAGAGATGTCTTTTAAGTTTTGCATATGGAAATAACACAACACGGTAGGTAGTTTTAAATGACTATTGTTTTTCGAAGTACTCTCCACGAAGATTAATACACATCTGCATGCGCTCGAACCAATTTTCGAAGCACTTATTCCGCTCGTTTGCTGGCAGATCCAAAACGGCATTTTTGAATGCATCAACTGCTTCTTCTGGTGACTGGAACCTTTGACCACGCAGTCTGTTTTTAATTTTCGGGAAAGTAAAGAAATCGTTAGGACTTAGATCGGGACTATATGGAGGATGGTCCTATAATTCCACGTTTTCTTCCGTTAAAAACTGCCTTGTTTTTTGGGCTGTGTGATGACTTTTGTCAAACAAATGGTGGTATACCAATCCGCAGTAATAGTTCTTTGCTCATTAAGAGAAATTGTTGCAATATGACCCGCTTTTGACACAAATGTCGCGACCATCTTTTTCGAAACACTTCGAGAACGGATGACTTTTCTTGGCTTTTCTTCACCTTGGAACACCAAAACAGCCGACTGTCGTTTATTTTCTGGTTCATAACAGTAAATCCACGATTCATCACCACTAACAATGCTGTACACATTTTTTGAGTTTCCGGAATTTAAACGGTCAAGCGTTTTTTGACACCAATTAACCCTGGCTGCTTTCTGCTCTTCAGTCAACAGGTGGGGTATCCAACGAGAAACTAGTTTTCTTACTCATAATTCTTCATGTAAAATTTTTTAAATTGAGGTCTTTGAGATCTTCAAGGACGCCTCAATCTCGCGATATGTCACATGTCTATCTTCAATGTTGAGTTTGCGCACAGCATCGACGTTTTCCTGGGTGACTGCCGTTTCTGGTGCACCCACCCTGGGATCGTCGCTAAGACTCACCCGTCTACGTTTGAATTCTCCATATCAACGGGAAATTGTCGACTGATGTGGCGCTTCGTTGCCAAAAACAGGCAGTAACTCAGCAAGGCATTCTTGTTGCGATAACTGTCTCTGAAAGTTGTAATAAATTATGGCGCGAAAATGTTCTCGGTTGAGTTCCATTTTTCTAATGACTTGGTGACATTTAAAAATTCACTGTAGTCAGAACACTGCACGTATTGTTGTGAAACTTTGAATTTAAGTTTACTAAAGAGTGAGGTTAAGATTCAGTACTGACGTTCGATCCGCGCGGCCTACTATGTTTCAATATGCAAAACTTGAAAGACATCCCTCGTAATCCAGCGTTTGAGTAGAAGACAGAAGTCGTATACGAGTTGATATTTTTTAAACTCTTCGCGATTCTCAAAATTTCACATTTTTGTACTTATGTCGTAGCTCGATCATGGGTGGTAGTGTGATTACTAGTACTTATCTCATCAATAATGTATTTGAGGGATGCGCAAGAATTTGACTGTTTAAATAAACTGTTAGTGGGAAACTTCTTTTGGATGAAGTATGATATTATATCAAAAACTTAGAAAACATGTTATTGATTCCTACCTCCACTTTCTTTCTTCGCCGACGTGTCTAGTTTAGCTAAGAAATTCATCTGCCCATCTTTATCTAATGTGTAGAGGACAGGGATACAGCTATGTCCAGCAGCTACAATGCTGTTGTTTGTAACCCATGTGCAGCTTAGGAACGGCAGAAATTCCGTACGCAATCTGTATACTCCATTTCCTTTTGTAGCATCGGCCACATTGATGGAGGAATCATGAGACACCTGTAATAGGTATGTTAAAATATATGTTACTATGCGAGGTAAATCCGTGCATGCGCATGTTGTTTTGTTAAAGAGTGTTGAAGCATCTGACTAGCACCAACAAACCAGTTTATGCCGCTAGTACACTTTCCTCGAGACATCGCGAAACATCTTGCCTCGTCTGCTCTCCGTTCTGAGTCTATTTTAAACTTTACAATTGTGTTCAATAACGAAGATATACGAGGCTTGTTATACCAAATAATACAAGTAATCACTGAAACAGCATTTGCACTTTGTGTGTGATTGTTTGATTTTTGTTCAATAAACATTTTTGTCCAAATCGGGATAATTGTAAAAATCAGTGGTTTGTCTATTTGGGGGTTAAGTGATTACAATAATAATAACAATACTTTATCGAATACATACTGGAAGTCTAGTCAGGGCTTATTATCACTACACTTCACTGCACTACAGGGTTTGAAAAAATCATTGACTAAGTTAATGAAAAACGTACTTCCACTATCTAACATCCATTCCTTTATTTGAATTTTAAATCTCGATACTGATGTTATATTATTTCTAACATCTAACAAGATAAAGAAAGTGCCACTGTCCTACGTATTTATTTCTTCGAGGGATCCCATAACAATGTTCTTTGTACAGGTCGACCAGAGTAGCTAGAGATGTGAGATTCGCAAACGACGGAGTGAGAGAGCGCTATATCTGAGAGAAACAATAATAGCCAACGAATGTAGAAGTACAGTCGACGCGCCAAGTTTTTTCACAGTAGACAAACGACTGTTATTTGATTTTATATGATGAAAGAAGGTTGAAAGGTTGTTTTTCACTGCCTTTCACTGCAGTTTTAGAAGCAGTCGAAACCAATTCATTTGCCTAAAACTTTGAAGATTATCTAGATTTTTTTAATCAAAGACTATAAACGTATATGAATAGTTTAAGCTACTCTTGCTAAACATTTATACAATTTGGCAAATTCAGCTTGAGCTGTGACGTGATGTTTACGGTGCAACTGGTTTTTCACAGCTTAAACTGACTTTGCCAGACTGTATATCCAAAATTCCGCTAGATTCCCCTTCTGCTTCATCGCTCCGTTCTTCGGCATCTTCATCTTCAGTTTCGGTCTCGAGAAAGTCGCTATCGCTGCATTCAAATGGATAACAACTTCGTCTATAACTCTATCAACAGCGGGCTCTTGCTGCATAAACTCTATCTCAATTTTTTTTGCATGCTCGCACCTAGTTTTCCATTCTTCGGGCGTAAAGTTATTGAAAAACGCGTCGCACCATTTTGAACCGGTAGAAAACTTGAATTCGACATTTCTGGCTGCTACGTAAGACTTCACTGTTGCCCACACGAGTTCTATTGGATTTAAATCGAGGTGGTAGGGTGGCAGTCTTAGAACATCGTGGCCAGCATCATGAAGAATTTGATCTATGGCAAATTTTTTATAAGCTGGCTTATGCAATTTAATCAAATTGTAAAGTTCTGGTTTAAGCATTTCATCTGTAAAAAAAATATTCCTGTCACGAAGCCAGATCTTCATTTCAGCTTTAGCGGTTGAAGATGTTGGACTTTTGTCTATCTGTTTATTGTGGTACGGCGCATTACCTATAACAACCACACTTCTGGGAGGTACATTTGGAATTAGTTTTTCTTTTAGCCACTTTTTATAATTATCAAAATTCATTTCATTACGATAATCTCCTGTGCTACATGTAGATTTCCATCTTACGTACGCATTGGGTATAAATCCATTTTCACCTCCAGCATTGAGTATGATCAGCCTTTCTTCCTTTGATATTGGTTTCTTAATGCCATCTGTGGAGTTATCTACCCAGCTTTTGGTATGTGTATGCGAAGAATGTATATACGTTTCGTCAGTATATATTACTGGGCGTCCTTCTTTTCTATATTTCGCCATTTTCCTTAAAAAAACAATCCATAAATGGCGAATCTCTGCCCTTTCTATTAATAGTTTTCTATTGGATTCAAATTTCTACCACCTGAATCCCAATTTGTGTATTTCCTTGCGTAGTATTTCTTTACACCCTTTGTAATCGCGCGGCAACATCGCGCATTTTTCTGTGTATACAGCACAAGGTAGGTATGCGCTTCTCTGTTATATGTTAGTTGATGATCGTTCTCCGTAACAGCCCTTGGTCAAAACGATCGAGAGCCACCTTAGTTTTGATGTTTGTTCTCTTTGGTTTTGGGAATGAAACTGCCACATGCTCTTTTATATTTCGCGCTTATTTTTTTACACGCCTTATGGAAGACAGGATCGCCCCTGTTGCGGCAGAGACACGTTCTTGTACCTAGAATTTACAATAGTATTGCAAAAACGTATTAAACCGGATTTTACAGACCGAAATAACATAATTATGTCTATAGGAATAGTCACTCCATCTGTTGCTTCCTTTTGCATGAATTCTAATACAGAGGCTATAATTTCTCGACTTTTTTGACTCAGAACCTTGTTTCTAACTTTGCTATTCATCGTGAATATGGCAGTATAACAACATACATGTACGCGCCTAAAATTTTTATTCGGACTGTACCCACGATGTGCCGTCGATCGCTGCTGCTTATTAAATGGTGTCCCCACTACTCAACCCGCCGTGTCTACCGCGCATCCAATTCTCATATCTCAATGCAGAATAGCCAAACAGTACCGTGTATGATAAACACGAGAAATTATAATTTAATTTTTCCTGCATGGATATTCTTTAATATCGTAAAACAGTAGATTTGTCGTATATCAAGAATGGAAGTTTCGGTGGGATATGTTATTTTTTTTTCATATACACTATCGGACAAAATTAGAGAGACTGTGCTATTTGTCCATTCCAGTTTTCTGTACTTTAAATAATATTCATGTTTGCATTACCGGCGACCAAAAGAATTTCATTATCAACAGTTTATTTGTGTACCTGATGGTATTTTCGTTTTAGTATTTCTTGTACTGATAAAGAAATACCTGCGAGAAAATTAGAGAGAAACAGAAAAAAATATTAGCAATGCCTCGAGGAACATTATTCCATAGATTTAAAAGAAACAATTATAGAAGCTTATGAATCAGGTCTCAAGAACAACACAAAATTTTCGACTCCGTGGAAGGGTGTTAACCTAAAGAGAGGTGGCTGGAAGAGAAAAACTTCAAAACAGTTGGACAGGATGATTAAGCGTTTAAGTCAGAAGAACCCGCGGCTGTCTGCAAATCAAATTTTGGCTCAGTTGGATGTGCCGAGAGTTTCGTCTAGGACTGTTTAGCGGCGATTTGTGAACGCGGGGCTCCCTGGAAGGAGACCTGCTAGAAAACCTCATCTATCAAAAAAAAAAATGTGATTGCTAGGATGATATTTGCAACACGTCACCGTCACTGAACAGCTAAGGTCTGAAACAAGGTTTTGTTTAGTGGACGAGTCTAAGTTTGATATATTTGGAAATGTTGCTGAAGTTTACGTTCCAACATGATAATGACTCCAAACATAGTGCCAAACTTGTGAAGGAATGGTTTTTGGCAAATAAAATTCAAGTTTTAAAATGGCATTTGAAAATCTTTGGGAGATAATTGAGAAAAAGATTCGAACTGAAAATATCAGCAATCGTGCTCAGTTATTTGAAAAGTTTGAAAATGCTTGGAAATCAATGGATCCAGCTGTAATTTCCAATCTCATTGGCTCGATGCCAAATAGATGTCAAACAGTCATTGAGGGCAAAGGATACTGGACGAAGTATTAGTTTAGGTTCATTAATATAGGATACAAATGTATTTAAAGATAGGTCTTTCTAATTTTAACGCATAGAATTTTTTATATTTTTTTATTTTCTCTAATAAATCTTTAGAAACAACGTTTATGAATTTATTTTAGTATCATTTGAAACTTCCCAATGACATACATTTTTTAGTTCAATTACAAAAATTCAATATATTTCTGTATTTCATAAAAGTCCAGGCCTGTCCAACATAATTTTGTGGAGCGACATATTTAGTATTTTCGTAACCATAGCAGGCCAAAAGAAAAGTAAAATGACACATTCTAATATGGTTCATTTATTTAAGAAAGCCTCAGTATTTCACTTATAATATTTAGGTAGGTACACTTAAAATCCAAATGAGATGTCTGACATTTTTCCTGTTTGCCCAGTGCTAGCTGGTATTTTAGAAGAGGCTATGCACCTGTACCTGTAAGATGATTGACTAATAAAGATGATCTCGTTTTTGATTTATTATATTTCATGTGGGAAAACAGCTGCTCGCAAATACTGACCAAAAGAAATGTTTTTTCCTTAAACATTTTTCTGGTAAAATTAAAGTAACAAAGTTATAGCCCTTTAGAAGTTTGAGTACCGCCCTGTCTCAATAATAATATTATGTGCTCGTGTTTGGCAACAACGGATATAATCCGCCTTATCGGTTCATCGCATCGGAAACAAAAAAGCGAAAGAATTTGAAACGCTTATCACGATGTTTTTACTACAATTTTATTCAGTTGTATTCAGTCAATGTGTCAGTCGGTAACGCGTGAGTGAATAGTGGTGTTTGTTGCGTGGCTCAAACGAAATAAAAAATGGCACATGTTTACGAAAATGCTGAACTTGTGGACATGATTCTTATTTACGGGGGGGAGTCTTTACAAAATGCTGCCGCGGCATCACGGATTTATGCAGATCGGTTTCCCAATCGAGTGCAACCAATCCCTCGTGCCTTTGTTAATGTAGTACAAAGGGCTTGTGAATCAGGTGACTTAAGACCTCACAGGGGAGGGCATGCCGGTGCTCCAAGACCGCAAGATCAAATACAGGTCCGCACTGAAATACTTGTCGGGAGGATACTTTATAAAACAAGGTAACATTTTTATTTTTTTTTATTTTTACACACATATTTTGGTTTATCTTCCTTCTACAATCATTATCTGAAAATTAATGACTCAGCTTCAAAGTCACCCTGTATATGTACTACCGAATAAAGAACTGTTTTGAGGAGCTAATTTAGTAAGGTTTGGGTATTGGTTGGGTGTAATGTATTTTTTGTAAAATCCAATTAATTCGATTGGAAGACAACCATTGCATGCCGTTTTTTTCAACTTTTCAAATCAATTAATTCTAACTGTAGGTTCGCTTTCATGCTGGGAATTTGCGATTTGAAGTCTACGAATCTCCTATCAAACTCATTCCTGAACCTTTGCAACAACAACACGTAATTTGCAAAGTCCAATGACTCTTGATTTACTTGCAGATAAGGTCTCCCAATGAACCAACTGCTTTTGTTCCAGCTGGTTTTCCAACAATAAGAGCTTCTTCGTGAAAGCTTGAACATGCTCATACAACTGCGTGCATAGTTGATCTTTCGCTCGCAATTTTAAGTTAAGATCAGAAACATACATAGTTATATGAACTAGGAAAGCCAGATCATTCAACCATTGCTCAGCAGTAAGGAAACTAGTGTCTTGGCCTTTGTTTTGAAGATGTATCTTTACTTCTTCGAGCAACGAATAAAATCGTTTCAGTGCGGCTGCCCTGCTGAGTCATCGAACGCGATCGAAGTACACGATGTCTTCATGATCTGAATTTGTGATTATGTCCCCTTTTACTTATAAAATTATCTGTTCAAACTACCTTATCCATCACGTGTTTCAGTTCAAGTACTTTTGCACACAGCTGTTCTTGATGCAGTATCATTGTATGTATAATGCAATTGCGCATTAAAGCCACAAATCCATTTGTTCTTACTGTCATTGCAGGTGTCCGTTGTTAAGCAGCAAAGATTTTCGATTTGAAGTTCATATTTTTCTATACAACTCTTTACTTCTCCGTAGATTCTTGTCCAGTAGTTGTATCTTCGGAAGTATTTTTGAATTTTGGATGAGAGTTGTAACTGGCTCGTGGGCCGGATAAAGGGCCTATACGGGCCGGGTGGTGGCCGTATGTTGGACAGGCCTGGTCTAGTCTCTCTAATTTTGTCCGATACTGTATTTATAAAATCCATTTTAGTAATACCTCAAGGTCTTTTAAATGTGTGTTGGATACTCCACGCCATCCGATGATTCCATAAGACAGCTGCTTTTCGACCAATGCTGTGAACAGTATTTTTGAGGGTGTAAGGTGTATTGACGCGCAAGATATAGCCTCACCTACATAACTGCCAACCTCATCTTCTCGGTAGTATAATCGACGAGGAAATGGTGACCGATGACTACCGGCATAAGGAGTCTCTCTGAGATGATTGACCAAAATTGGGTCACCGACCCTGATGGCTGGAATCATCCTTCGAGTTTAACCTCCTATTTCTAGTCTTCGTGGACTGGTTCATCCAAGAGGAGGAAAGTACAAATCGTTAAGTTATAACATCGCCTACCTCAAAACACCGCCGGTCATTGTGCACATAACATAACGGAGGATTTGGGTGTTGTTGCATGTTTTAACGTGTTTTTATATGGAATTTTTGTTCCAAAATACAATTTTTCAGAAATACCCTGACCTGAAATAACGGCACAAAATAAGTGGCGTTGAGTATTGACCAAAGTACACCGATTATTTATTATCGATCACGGTACACAAGAAGAAGGAATGGATGGAACCTATGAGAGAGCGGAATTGCCATATTAAGCCACCTTGTTCATACGTGTTCAGAAAAAAACTTTTATAAGAGATTTATAGTCACTTTATAGTTGACTGTGATTTGAAATGTATTAAAATGTGATACATAAAAGCAGGAATTAAAAAGTCTTAGGGTAATGAAGATACATTAAAAATGTATATTTTCTAGAAATTAGTTAACAAATAAACTAAAACAGTATCTTGGAGAAATAATAGGAAAAATCAATAAATGGATGAACTAAAATAGAATAAAGAAGTTTCATATTATTTTAAACACTCAAGTCTGTAAATACAAAACCGTAATATATAACTTTCAACATAACATGTCTACAGAAAGGACAACACAAATAACCCGTCTGGTACAGCTAATACATATACTTCATGGGAGGCATATTCAATAATAATTTTATCACATAGCAAATAATGCTTTTATACACATGCAGACCAATATACACAATCACCATACAATTATCCAGATGGAATATTGCTACCCTGCTACTCAATCAATTTTATATGTCAGAGATATACTCTAAAGACTATCTCCGCATGGGTATCATGTAAAAAACCTATAAAACGTAAAAAAACCTCTAAAATGTCATCTTGCAAGCTAGGTAGATTTTAGGGCGCAGTCATTCCCCGTTTGCTCACTAGGATCGTTGTGAACGTCCATCTAAGGAGGAATCACTCATCTAAGGTTCACGCACTATTGGTTGCATATGTTTTGTGAGGCCAAATAATGGTCCTTGACTAGTTTTTATATCTGAGAAGAAAGTTGGTTGAATAGCAAGATCGCATCTGGATGATTATGTGTATTGGTCTGCACGTGTGTAAAATCAGTGATATTTGCTGTGTGAGAAAATCATCAGTGAATATGCTCCAAATATACCTATTGGCTGTGCCCGACGGGTTATTTTTATGTTGTGCTTTCTGAAGAGAGGTTATGTTCAAAGTTATAAATTACGAGAAACTGGGCAGAAATACGAGAAATCATCAGCGCACCCGCGCTGTGTGTAATTACTGTTAGCATGTATATGGCTTAAAATTCGACAGTGTACAGTGAATATTTCTTATCTCTCTCATTTTTAAAATTCAGCAAATTTGTATATGTAATTTCCAGAACGAATAAGAAAAAGTCGATACGCAACTAATTCCTAGCTTTGAATCTCAATTAAGTGTATTTGAGACAAGAACCCAATGTAATTATCATCAACGCATACAACTTACAGGTTAGACATCCAGTAATGCCATATCAGAAGCAGATTTTACATCACATCAGAGCCAAAGACTGATAACAAGCCTCATGACGCTTAGGCAACACGTACAACTAAGTATTAAGTTAATATCTTGTAGAAAAACCTACATAATGTCAAAAAAACAATGTCAAAAAAAATCGGCATAATGTCACTTTTCAAGATACGTGATACCCGTGCCGGCTGGGGAACTGACTTGCACTGCTGGTCATTGATCGTGTCGTTGAGTCATTCGTCCATAGATTCCGCTTTTGGCAACGCTCACAACGCTTATAGCGAGCAATAGGGGAATGAACTATTTGCACACTAGGAACTATTTATATAGTCAGCAACTTGACATTTTGTCTTTTTAACTTTATATAGGTTTTTTACGTAATAACCCTGCAGAAGTTGTGGTATGTACATACTCAACCCACCGCGCCGGTGTTTTGAATTAGGCGTTGTTGAACTTAGCGACGAAATGTTTTCTTTTTGTTGACATTAAAAGCCGTTTTCAATCATGATGTTGAATATTGGGATATTCAAGAAGGAGAACTACATGAGGAGCTATACTCAAAATTGCTTATTTCTCAATCGTTCGGAAATAAAGGACTTTTGGGGATTTTTTTTTATACTCCAACTACCACGAAGGCCTAAGGCCTAAACACCCATTGGTTACCGTGGGGCTATAGGGGGATACAGGGGAAAGGGGGGACGCCACACGGACTCTGGCGACGGAACACGTGTGCATGCAATATGCACACATTCTGGCTCTACAAATCACTCGATTTAACATAAACTTAGATTAGCCATTATCCTGAAGAACTCAATTGTTGAGATATATGCCCTGGCACAGGGTTGAAAAAAAACAAAAAACATGTTTTTTCTGTTTAACTGTTTTTTTTTGTTTAACACGGGGCCATGGCAAATGCTTGTTCCGGAAGTTGTTGTATCCAGTAAACAACTTTTTTTTTATACTCCAACTACCACGAAGGCCTAAGGCCTGAGCTCCCATTGGGTACCGTGGGGCTATAGGGGGATACATGGGAAAGGGGGAACGCCACACGGACTCTGGCGAGGGAACACGTGTACATGCAACATGCACACATTCTGGCTCCGTCTACGAGATCCGCCGGGTGGTACCTCCGCGTTCGACAGTCAGAGACCGTCTACCACCTACGGACAATCACAACATCCATAGCCAAGAGAAAAATTTCTCCTGGGACGGGACTCGAACCCGCACAGCGCACGCCGACTGATCAGGAGACCGAACAGTCTACTACTGCGGCCACCGCTGCTGCCTAATCGGATAAAACGTTTAAACGGTTAATCGTTCTAAGCAAGGCTAAATCCTTAAACAATTAATGCTAAACAAGTTACGAAAAGCGTTTATTAAGAAACCTTTTACACGATTATACGATTAAACGTTTCGTGCCGAGCCCTAATTTGAACCATAGTACTATGCGGGTAGATAAAGTGTTACATGCCTGAAATCAATCTGTGAAACTTGTTTAAATAGGTAGGTTGCATTTTAGGGATTAATCTTTAAGCATACCCAACATATCTTGTTGCCGTCCGGCGAGAAGCTGACGTCATGGACCCATCCGACAGGTGCGTTCTGGTTCACAAATTCAGTCATGAGCTGGCCCAGGGGCATCTTCGCCCCCCACTGGGTCGCCTTGGGGACGTCTTCGATGTCCTTGATGTACGATGAGAAGATGCGCACCTTAAAGTCCGAAGAACCGGCTGCTAGCAGGCAATTGTTTGGGTGCCAGTCTAGGCAGGTGATGGTAGACCGGATTGGTTTCTTAATGTGTTTTGACACCTGACAAACAGAATATATGCATTTAGCACTTCATTGATCGGGACACGAAATGGATATTATTGATATAGGTCAAACTAGGTAGCGAAAAATTAATTTTCACTTCCCACGCCAATGGCGAGCAAGTATTTGTAATCACGAAAACAATTTAAGTATGATATGTTGTTTTTTTTGGATGTTACTGTGCCAAGGAAGAAACTTTCGTTGTAGTTGTTGGAAATCGAGTCAGTGGCAGCGGTGCTACAGACAAAAAACAAAAAAAAAAACAGTGAAATACGTTCTATTATAGGAAGCTGATGAACCCTGTAATAGTATGTACCTGTAATACAGGATGGCTCAAAGAAAAGGTCGCACCCCCATTTGTGACACACCTGGTATATTTTGGAGAAAACGCTCGGACATATCAATTTTGATTTCTGGGGGGACGTCTTTTCATCTATAACCGTACAATACAGGGTGATCTAAAAATAAGATATTGCTTTACACTTTAGATTTTTAAATGGAATCCCAATTTTTTTTAATTATTAGATTTTCAATTGAGTTTTTAGTAACATTTGTATAATACAGTTTATACCTATCTTCAATCGTTAAGAAGCTATTTGAGTTTATAATAAAATTCGACTAACTCAATACTGATAATAATGGAATGCCCGGCAAAAAATAATAATCATGGGTACCAGCAAGAACATTTAGCATCAGTCAGTGTCATCGTATGGCATAGAAAAACTTTACTTTTCATTTCAAATCAACCTACTAGTTGTGATAAATAACAAAACCGTATTACCAAAATGGGAGCATTGCAAGATTTACTACCTAAACGATAAGTATGTGATTGATAAGTTGATAAGCAAATTTGAAGAAACTGGATCTGTGTCTAATATTCGCCATAATCGCAATCGAGAAAATCGACCAGTTAGAAATGTAGCCGCAGAAATAGCAGTTTTGGGACACGTAGCACTTGACAACACTCGAAGCACTGGACTGGCTACTTCTTCAGGATTTACATGCTCGATATTACAAAGAATTTTGGAAGACAATAAATTCCACCCATACAAGATAAAACTTGTCCATGAGCTTAATGAAGACGATTTTGATACAAGGTTGGAGTTTTGCAAATCTGTTTTTTAATATTTGCTTCTCGGATGAGTGTACGTTCTATTTACAAGGTGCTGTAAATAGAGAATTGTCAATATTGGAGTGACTCGAATCCACATTTGTTTCTTGAGGTATACACGCAATCTCCTGAAAAAATAAATGTGAAAATACAACAGAGCCACGATTACCGAAATAATAGAAAATAACATTAATTATAATTAAAATTACATTCATTTCCAACAACAACAACATGGTGCGACAATTTTTGGACACTCATTTGCCGAATCAGTAGATCGGCAGACGAGGCCCCATCTAGTGGCCGCAGAGATTTCCGGACCTAAGTCCTTTAGATTACTTTCTTTGGGGGCATTTGAAAAGTAAAGTTTTTAGTACGCCAGATTCCATTCAAGATCTTCGTCAGCGGATTACGGCTGAATGTAGACAAATAACTCAATACATACTTGAAAATGTGAAAACCTTTATTATTGCATGGAGGTAAATAGACACCACTTTTAGCACTTATTACCACATTGCCATACCTCTTTATAGCAAATTAATTTTTAATTTATGTTTAATGTGCGTGTAAAAGTAAGATGTTTTTTGCTTTTTTAATACTCGGAGACTTGTTTTTAATTTTAAAGTCTTGACACTGTGGGAACTATATTGATTATTATTTTTACGATATAATCCCTTATTATCACAATATCTAGAATTTTATTATAAACTCAAATAGCTTCACAACGATTGAAGATAGGTATAAACTTTATTATGTAGTATATGCATGTATGTATAATTGGAGTATTAATATATAATCATACTGTATATTAATACTCCAATTATACATACATGCATATACTACAATTATACAAGTTACTAAAAACTTCATGTAAAATCTAGTGGGGTTTCCCGTTTAAATATCTAATGTAACGCTTCCTTTCCGCAAAAAGTCCAGAAAAGATGGAATGCAATGAAGATTCCAACTTTGCTGCACAATCACAGAAAGGGGGTTAGCATTAGCTTCCGGTAGCTCAGTCGGTGGCATGAAGACATCTACAGGCGTGTAGCTGTGTGTCGACCATGGCATGGCTAGAGGATAGAAGAACAAACAGAACACAAAAATTTAACAGATTTTATTTAACAAACAAAAAAAAGGCATTTTCATTACATGACAATTTTACAAAAATAACAAAATAAGTTTTACATCTTTGGCGCTGCTATAACGCTATCGACTTATCTTTCGCTGGTCCATTTTTACTCGACTGAAGCCAGGATGGCCAGGGGCTTGAAGGGGAGGTCCCAGTTATGAGGGGTGACCTCCATATAGTGGCTTCACAACCAGTTGTAGGCGAAGTTAAAGGCGATGGCGCTGCCAAGGTACATGCATGGGTGAAAATATTGGCCAAGGCTAGGCAAAGTGAAAGGGAAAGAGAAAGGGGGTGGCCCCAATCATTTTTGTCCTATACGGACACACACTCTAGAAAATTCTAGCACATGGTGCTATATAACCTTGTGCTACAGAAAGGAAATTTCTAGCCGTTGTTCAATCGGCGGCTCAAGTGAAAAGGAAGCGCGAGGAAGATCGCAGATCAGGAACTCCGCATCAAGCGCTCCAAGCGGAAAATTTTCCAAGCAAAAAAGCTAGAGATGGGATTAATAATAATATATATATAATCGAGAAGTGATTTAATAAATACGATCGGACGGTGAAACCGTTACACTCGCCCCAACTTAACCAAAAAAAAAAAAAATCGAAGAAGCATTTAAGAATTTTTTTTTTTACTAGGAAATTGAAAGTTATCACGGAAGGACAAATGTACAACCATTCGACCAGATAACAAGTAGTAAAAGTAAGGTAGAAACAAAAATGTTAGAAGAGAATTGGAAGAAAAAGGGATAGCCTCAAGTCTACCAAACAAGAGGGATGGTTATAGCACCAACTCGCTGAAAAGTACAGTGAAGTTGCACTTAAAAAAAACTATCATCATATGATGAAAAACCCAAAACATAAAACATCGTCATACCTAAGACAAGAAAAATAATAAACCAAAAGTTTTAGCAGTAGTCCAAGCACGAATCACAATGACATCCAAAATGCACGACTGACTACTAAAAACTTCAAAACTAAGTAAGTACCTAAACCATAAGAGGTACTAAAAAAATAATAATCTTTCTCAAAACAATTGCCAGATTATCTCGCAATACTCCAAACCCAAAAAGATTATGATCTACAGTGATATTTTAAACCAATATCCAATATAAAAAAACTGTGCATTACTATTTTCAAAATATGAAAATCAAAAGAAATTAACAAATTCTATTAAGAATTCCATTTATATAACAAAACAATTTACAAGTACTAAACCAATGAAAACATGATCACGAAGGTATTTTAATCAAAAAAGATGTTAACTAAGTGCAGTTCTGATTCCACAAAAAAATTGTCGGGCGCCAGCAGTCTGTAAGACTACAAAATAATTCAAAATATTTTCAGAGAATTAAAGTATATAAGGGACATTCATGAAATATTGAAGTAAGATTTTCAAAGTCAAAATATAGCTTAAGTTCAATCAATGAACTAAAATTCAAGAGTAAGTTCAATCAAAATTTTCGGGTCATGTGACAACATAAGAACCAGACCAAAAAAAAAATTTGAAGTACAATATAGAAAAGAGCAAAATAAATTTCCAAAAAAACTAAGTGCAACACAAGTGCAACTGTAAATCTAATAGTGTTAAAATCATAAAGTGAAAGGAAATATTAAAGCTATATGAGCATGATTTTATAAAGGGTTCTCAAAAAAATTTAAAAGTAAGCAAAATATTAAAAGTTTCATGAGTAATAAATGAGAAACGAAGTGAGCATATGTAAAATGCAAAATAGCGAAACGAAAATCACAAGATATTTTATTAAATCATGATACATGAGAGTAACGCCGCAAGCAAAAATTGTATGCAAAAGACTACGATATATGTAGGTGCAAAATTGGAGTTATAAAAAAAATCTAGTGAACAAGAAATAGAAATAAATATGATAGGTAAGAATTCGAATTTTGATTTAAAGCAAAAATATGAGAGAAAGACAACTTTCTAGGGTCACCATAGGTGCATTCCAAAGCCCTAGACAAGAATGTCTACAGTCTATGAAATATTCTCATGTAGATCACTGATATCATCAGCGCACTTCAAAGTCTACACTAAGAATAACCATATCATTGTAAAATGAAAGTTAAGTGCAAATATGAAATATTACAAAATTAGAAAAACTATAATAATTTACCAGTGTAAAGTATGGAAAGAGAATTACTATACTGAATCTATAAGATTTGGCGATTACTTCAAGTCAAGACAGAAATTGAAAGAAATAAGAAGTCGGAAAAAAAGATTATGAGAGCAGACTATCAAAACAAATGCAATAATGCAAAAGCAAAATCACCAGATATTTCAAAATCTATAGCGAAACATGAAAGCAATGTCGCAACCAAGCTCAAGACTTAGCAATACGCACAAATGTGCACAAAGGCTGAAAGCATATATGAAAAATCTCAAGAAGGAATTGACAATTACTTCAAATCAAATTGAACTGATTGAATTGAACTGAGACATAAATAACTATATCAAAAGTGAGTTTTACTTATACGCCAGAGGTTTCAAGAGTTTATCAATACGCACAGATTTGCAACTAGGCGGAAAGCATATATAACAAGTCTCAAGAAGAAAATAAAATGCATATGAAGAAAACACTTTCAATTAAAGAAACTGTGGATAGTACAAGACCCTCAAGGCATACATCGCAACGAATCTATGTAACTATCCAGACTACAAAATACTGTCAAAGTTCAAAACCACTCAAAAATATGTAAACAAACATCAAAAGTTTGAACCAAAAATCAATGTAAGTCTGTGCTCTCG